CCAGTCTCTGGCTTCACAATTTTACCCTGCGGGAGAGGGCCCTCTGCGGCATATCAAGCTGTCTCACCATGCAGATGAGCACATGACTATAACTCAGCCATATTTGTCATATTTAGTTAAACTCATCATAAACAAAGTTAAACGCTTCTAGCAGCAGTATGTTATTTTATCGACATGTCGTGTTTGGAGTAAGATACTTTTTATTTGAAATTACACGCGGTGCAAACTTTTTTGGTGCAGGACCAAGGTTTTGGCTGATGTTACCAGCCTTTACAACTGCAAATAATCAGTACGACATACAGATATACGGTAGCACGCGATAGTCATGATGTATTTACAATTGATTTTTTGCTCTTTGGCTGGAGTTTGCACAAGTTACGCCATGAAGGAGAGATCTTCGTCGTCTCCTTCTGCTTTGTCTTTATTCCAGACGTTTGGTCTTGTCTGGGTTAAGGGCGCGTCGGTAACTAAGCGCTTTTTGTAGGTCCCAACCGTCGTTACTATGCCTAGGCAGTTAAAGTTGACGCTATGTCCGATGGAAAAGTAGTAAGGGCAGCTGCCAAAGTTTGTCCCATGCGTCGGTTTTCTGCGGTCATTGGATTTATGATGGTCGCCGATCTTTTATGCTGTACCATCCTAGTTCGTAGTTTTCTGGAAATGTGACCAATGTATGATAGGTGGCACTCTGGGCAATTTATTGAAAGTATATCAGTCTTTTCTTCGTTTCGTAATTTATCATTTGTGTGCGTCAGGAGAGATCTTATTTTCTCGTTTGATTTGAAGACGGTCCTGATGTTAACGTTTTCGAGCACCTCCGTCTAATCGACTCTAAAACGACCGGAACATGGGGATACAGACGGTCGATGTCGGAGTGAACGTTTGTGTTCGCGGGTGACCAGTGATGTTTCGGTTCCTTATTCTTTTGAGGAACTGTCTTCTTCCACGTGGTGGATTTCATGTTGAAGTTCTGTTTTCCCACTTCTCTGTCAAATTAGCTTCTGACCACACGTGTTTTCTTTCTTGTTAGGTGATTAGAGCTGAACTGTAGGTAGTGTTTCGTGTGACCAGGCTTGCTATAGACTGAAGGGTTTGATGATCCGTCGTGCCTAGTTATTCTGCTCTTACTTTGCAGTCTGGAAACGGGACCCAATCGTACTTTTTTACTTTCATCGTGAACTGGGTCGATGGATTCACGGTATTTAGAGACTGGAAGAACGCTGGTAGATCGTTCGCTTGTAGAGTTTGTTCACAGGTGTTTCATCAGTAAAACGTATCTCCACGATACTTTTGGTGCAGCATGAAAATTGTTGAGATCATCTTTCTCTGACTTTTCAGTAGACGTGTTGGCGATGACTGGAGAGAGCTATGGACCCAATGGTGTTCCTTTTAGCTGTATGTATTGTTCTGTCTCCAAGGCAGAACTGAACCAAGTGTTTTTCGTACAAAAAGTTTGGGCAGCTAAGTATCTCTTGCAAATTCATCTTCGGGCTGTTGCCCCAGTCGGTATCCGTAGCGAGATTCTCTTCTGAGTACGATGCTACTTTTTTAATAGGTATAGTGGTCAAATTACGTCGAAGCTGACCGTGGTTTCGTCGCGGTAAATTATTTCATTTAGTTCTGTTCTAAAATATTGCGAGTCGTTTGTGAAAGTGCCTGATCTTAAGACAAGACTGGTTAGGATTAGTCATATACTCTGCCAAGTTGTAAGTGAAGTTTCCAATACAGCCCACAATTGGCCGCAAAAAATGTTCTTTGTGAATCTTTGGCAGACCATAGAAGCGTTGTGCCTGGTCAGCCCTGGCTTAGGGTTGACGTGATAGAACCACGGATTGCCAGATCTCTTCCGTAACGGATGCCGGAACTTGTTCTGATTTCTGGTAACCTGTTCTACTGGTAGTTTTCTGAGTTTCTTATGTGTTTCTGAACTAAGAACTTACTTAGCCTTTTATATTTTCTGATTTGTTCATGACCACTATCGCATTTCCTTTTTCTGCTGGCAGCATCATGATGAAGAGATGCGATGACAGCGCTTTGATTGCGTCGTTTTCTTTAGTAGTATTCATTTTTGTCTTCGGAGGTCTTCAAAGTTCGTGACAGATATTTTGACGGGTGTGTTTCAGTTGTGCTGGACCAAATGTTGAATTTCAGTTTCAGTTGCAGGAATAAACTTTCCTGTGCAACTTCCTTTGAGTCCTTTCCGTAACAATCTCATTTTATATTCTGTCAGTGTTCCGTTCAGCAGGTTCACAGTCCATTTTTTGACTTATTCTTCTCCCTTCTCGGGTTGACTGTGGTCATAACTTGACTTCTTTGTTGTTCCTCTTGTAACCCGTGAAACTTTCTCCTGTCATATCTTGACTACCACGTATCCAGTTTCACCATATCTTGCGCATCATGTTTGTAAAACTTTGAAATCTTTGACTTCCGAGTTTGGTTCTAATTCTACTTTAGATTGGAGCATGCAGCGTTTAGTTTGAGAAATCTTGTATAAATACTTGATTAGTCGTTGTCACAGTTGAAACTTACCACATGCATAAATGTGAAATTTCTGACAATGTATATTGAAGATCCGATGGTCGTTCCAACGATCTAAGGCAACACACAATTTTCCATACCTGTTTATCAGTCTTCGAATTGAGTTTCCGTAGTGACTTGCCATATGTGTAGAGGTATTTGGCACCGCTTGTTGGTTCATGAGTAAGACGCAGTTTCATTCGAAATTACACACGGAACTAACGTATGATTGTGAATAGTTTTCTACCTTTTATATTAATTAGAAATTTGAAGAAGGTATAGTTAAGAGCGTACATATTGAAGCAGATCCCTTCCTATATGTTTGTGACAAAAAAATTACCTCAGAATCCATTTGACTTTTAAGCGTTTGAAAATTGTTCCGTATTCCAGCTAAAATTTGGAGCCTCCTTCTTGGTAGTCTCAATTTTTAGGTGATAATGGAGCAAACAATACGAGACTCAGAAATCTGCATAATGTTGTTTTCATGGATGAATCAACGGAATAAAGCATACGAACTTTATATATTTTTAATCATTGTAGCGTTGATGTTTTTGGATGCCGAGGATGGGTCGATCATAATGTGAGACAGAAAAATTACATATTTTGTGACTTTGCGGTGTAAAGATGTTCGTGATTATGGCGATGGAGAATTTCGTTTTCGCGTAAAACCATCTGTTCATTTATGTAAAATCGGATGTTATGAAAGCTAATTTCCTAAAAGCGTAATTTAATGTTCATATATGTCATAATTCAGTTAATACTCTAATGATTCCTTTTCTTCTGCAGCAGACCGAAAAGTTCAGAGACCTGAGGCTTTCGAATATAATGCAAATTTGACAGCATGTCAGTTGCTGATTTAATTCCAACTCGTAAATTGCGAGCTTGACTAGGAAAACAACGTTATAAACATAAACACTTTCATTTGCTTTGGTGTTCGAAAAACCAATTGAGCAGTGATTAGCAGAATAATGCCTTGCGGCTCTTACGTCGTATTATCCTTTTTATTCGTGTCATTTGGAAAGTTTTCTATGTTCTACTGTATAGGGTCATTGACAATCAAATTTAGGCTATTAAAC